AATTAGTTATTTTTTATGTTTTGTGGTTTCTTTATAAAACTATTTATAGCAATGAAAAACAATAAAGATATAAACCAGGTTTTGAAAGTTTAAATAAAATATTATCTTGTCAATGACAGTTGGTTAATAATTTAGGTGTAATAAAATTATTAGTATAAATTGAGAGAATACTAATTACAAAAAAACTAGGTGCACAAGATCAACAATAACTTCTTAGTAATTTTCCATTGATTCATCTTTTCACTCTCAAAATTTTGCAAAATATCAAGAACTAATTATTTTGTTTATATAAATCAGGATTAAATAAATATTATCTTGTCAATGACAGTTGGTTAATAATTTAGGTGTAATAAAATTATTAGTATAAATTGAGAGAATACTAATTACAAAAAAACTAGGTGCACAAGATCAACAATAACTTCTTAGTAATTTTCCATTGATTCATCTTTTCACTCTCAAAATTTTGCAAAATATCAAGAACTAATTATTTTGTTTTATATAAATCAGGATTATTCAATATAAGCCGTATTAAATAATCAGTGATAAAAAGCATTTTCTTATCTTTGGCATATTTAGTAATATTTAGTGTTATAGATATTACTATGCATGCACAATATTATATTTTTGTATACCTTCATGTTACTACATTCAGATATTCTTCTTCATCTCAGCTTATAATATATCAATATACAAACTTATTATATATATATATATACATATTGGTACTCCTTTATAATAATAAAACTATGACTTTTTATTTGATCGTTTCAAATAATGTTTAATAAACTGATTTGTTAAAATAATTATTCAAAAGAGTTGTATGTCAGAAAAATAATTTAAATCATATTATATGATTCGTTATCACTAATTAAGTGCATTACAAAAGATTTATAACACACTCTATGTATATACCATATTTCGCATAATTAAAATAATATGAACAAATCAAATAAAATAACAAGTATAATATAGCAGTTTATGTTTAATATATTTTAAAATACTGACATGCAAACCAACAATACATAAATTATAATTAAATAGAGTTCATAGAAATAGCATATCAAAATTAAATAACCAAGGAAGCAATGGAAATCTTGCATGATTGTTTTATTTATTAATATAATTCTTTGTTAGGCCATTAATCAAATTAATCACAGGCGCCTATAAATTTATATCAACACAGCTGCGACTAAAACAATTCTTTAACTTATCCCAGAATATGATATAATATAAATATTAATTCGGAATTTATTCTTTAATAGTTAAAGGTTTTCTTAGTTTTTACTATGAAACTGCATTTAATGATTATTATAATTACTTGTACTGTTTCATTCTTCATTGATAATGACAACTGATACACTACAGTTTATTTTGACAAACAATCATTGCAATTTATAGTTTTTATAATAGCCTATATTAACATTTAGTTTTTTTTTTTAAATAAAAAAAACTCAAAATAGTACTATAATTTATTTGTCCATAACCCTATCACAGGTTATTTATTTTTCTTTTTAACTAATGGAAAGTCTTATTGAATAAACATACTCCTTGTCAATGCTGTTTTCTTATACATGCTTGCAGATATTTATTTAGTTGATTTTATCTGTAAACTATAAAGATATTATATACTCTATTAATTTGAACAAAAATTTAGACCTGATTCTGATTTAACACTAAACATACCATACCGGGTCAAATGACCCATTTTGAACTTTTGCATTGAAAATGCACATATAATTTCATTGCGTTTGCACATTTGACTTCATGACTTTTTTTTAAGTAATTAACAGTTATAAACAATTTTTTTTTCTTGTTTTGTTTTGTTTATTCTGAATAATACTTCTTGTATACCGATATCTACCACAATGAGTCATTTGACCCGGAGAGAATTTTTTGGTTTATGAGATTGTCAAGTCATATTTGTAGTTAGTGTGTTGCACATTCTTCTAAACACTGTTGCCTAAAGTAGTTCAATGAAAATAGCTCGGAATAATTTCAAGAAAATATCAAATTTTAGATTGAAAATCTTTTTATTGTTAAAAAAGTGGCAGAAATTGAAAGTCTTGGTAAGTATCTAGCTTATATTTTATTTTTATAGCTATAGTAGTACAGGTTATTTTTTACCCAGAAAAATGTCGAAGCAAACAAGACATTACAAGTTCTTAAGAAGATATAAATAATATTGGCAAAGAGTTTTCAGAAATTAGTGAAGATGAATTTTCTGAAAATGAAGATATATTGGTTGAAAATAAAAATGAGTTTGATTCAACAGATACCGACGATGAAGAAAACAATGATAAACGTTTACCTGAAACTGTTTCATATTACAATAAAACCAAATTTGGTGTAGACATGACCAAATCAAATGGCGAGGAAATTTACTACAAAATCCAAGTCTTGCAGATGGCCTCTCCAAGTTTTTTTCAATATCCTTGATTTAGCTGGCATAAATGCCTGGATTTTGTACAAGCAAATGACAGGAGAAAATATCTCGCGAGATTCAAGCTAGCAGAAGAACTTGGCGCCGATTTTCGAGAAATCCGTAAACAACCAAAACAAGAAACAAATACGAAAGTATGGTTGCCTAAGTCTACTACAGATGTTTATAAACATATGAGATGTCAAATAGGTTACCGTAAAGAAAATGAAACCAACAAAAAATGCTCTAAATGTAAAAAATATGTTTGCGGAAAATGTACAATGGACACAAATATATGTAAAAAATGTGATTAACTATGAATTAAAATTTCTTATTTTTGCTTTTGTAATAGAAATGCTCAACATACTTTTTTGTTTAATTATAATAAATTTAATTTTTATTTCTTCCTAACATCCATATTTCATACATTCAAGCATGAAACATAGAGTCGGGTCATTTTACCCGCTATGATAGAATTAGGTATATATTAAGTCTTGGTATGATTAGTGTTAAAACATTTAATTTATGTACTAAGTGTCAACAATTTAGAAAGCTTTATTTTAACTGACTGACATACAACATGCAAGATCTCCATTGAAAAATAAGAAGCATCTCAATAACCAAATTTTTTTCTAAATATACATTTATAATAATTTACTTGTAAATACAGCCACCATGCCAATATGAGAATATTTTTTTTTAGATTGTAAATACACAAAAAAAGATGCCAGATAAATAATACATCATTTAATAAACATTTCAAATTAAAACATAAATATTTGATTTACCAAAACAACAATTAAAAAATTCTCCACACATTTTCATACAAACATAACAAAATATAAATATTTCATCACAAAGTAAAAAAATAAAAATTTTCAAATTGAAAAATTTTAGTCAATACAGTTGGATGTACAGTTAATAATTTAATAGATTGTGCTTTAATTAAAATTAAATTATTTTCGTCTGCTGGCTACCTTCACAGCATTTTTACAATCCAATGCTCACAACTATATTCTTGCATAAGAAAGCGCCAAGTATCGAATTTATGATATTGTACCTTCATCTTGTCCTATAGCTAACTTGTTCTGATTCTCCTTCTCCAAAACATCAATCAATTCTTTCCCAGGCAGATTATCCTCAGAGATCTCTGTTGCATTGTCGAGTTCTTTTGAAGTGATAAGATCGTGATTGTTGTGCTGATCTGATAAGTTCTCTAGTAGAATATCTTTATGAACTTCCTTTTCGACTTCTTGTATATTATTTCGCTTATGCATCAGATATTCATCAATGGTATTTACTAATTCTTTTTCTTCTGATGTATATTTCCCATTGTTCAAGTTCAATTTATTGTTCAATTCATTGGCTAAAAAATATTAAATATAATTTTTTTTTGCAGATTACTTATACTAGCTAATTTCTTTAATCAAACTATTCAGTCTCAAAAAGAAATTTTCTTTTTTATTAGCCAATGTATTATCGTAAGATGGCAAACTATTGTCATTTTTTTTTAAATGGATTAGAGGTTTTTTATTATTGAAAAAGTTCAAGACTGTCTATTTATTATTGCACAACTAGCATAAATAGTGATAAAAAAAATTAAAAAGTGGCAATTTGCCTTAAGACAAGTTTCATGGCGTACCCGATACATATACAAAATCAACTTAAGTATTGAGACTCAGCTATTTAAATAAAATATTCAACTGATAATTCGAAAATAAAATTTTCGGTTTTCACTAAAGAATAATCAATGCTGTTCCCAACTGATGTCTTTCAAACATAACATTTGAAATTGTATAAATTAAATTAATTTGTTTTACACATTTCATTTCATTCGTTTCGAGTTGTAAAAATGTATTATATTTAAGTGCAGACGTAAACTGCAATAATCAGTGGTTACCTACAAAACCCCACAGAACGTATATATGCTTCGGCATAGATTTTGATTATGCGCGCATCGAAATTCTAAACTTTGATGAATTTTTATAATCATCCGCTTATCGGGCGCCTATAATAATATAGTACGTTATTTCAGACTACAAAATCTATCGTTAAACAGTTTCATCAAAATTATCCAAAACAAATTTTCAACAGTTAATTTCAAAGAAACGGCCCGGGCGATCTTTACCGAAAACTAATCAACGCGATTCTTATCCAATATCGTTCAAACGATTTTTGAATTTTCGAAATCGATTTATAGTTGTGGGCTAAAAGGTGGACGAAAAATTTTCATTTTTCAGCTAGATACAAAGAAGCGGCTTGCCCGATCGTCGCGCAAAACTGACCAACGCTAGTCCCTAATCAAGTTACTTCGAAATGGGTTTTCAATTTTTGAAATTAGTCCAGCCGTTTTTGAAAAAGCATCGACGAAAGGCCAAAGGTCGGCTCACACACACACACACACACACACACGCGCGCGCACACACATAACTTTTCCAAATTTGGTCTAATTCGGTACAGAATGACTCGAAAAGTCGAGAGAACAAAATAAGCAGATCGGAATTTTTCAAAACCCCCAAGGGGGGTTAAAAATTAACATTTACTATAACTACTATTTACACAAAAAATACAAAATATCAACCTGTTTGTTCAATCTCTGATTGATTCTCATACAGTTCACTGGCCTGGTCTTCTATTTTGGCATCAACATCCTCTGTTACATTAACTGAAATAAAATTACTGAGTTTACAATTAAATATAAATAGTTCATATGAAAAAACTGATTATACCGCAACCTGAAAATTCGCTCTCCGAGTGACTTGGAAACATATCAGCTGATAAATCTTCTTCTTTCATATCTGAATTTCTATGACAGACTGATCTGATGTTAAATTATGACCAGATGAGAAATCTCTGGACGAACCTAATTCTTCATTTAATACATCAAATCCAGACTTTTCTAACTCAACTTTGGCTGCAGCTTTCTCTGTATCATCGGTGATGAGTTCAATATTGCAAATACATTTTTTAACAATATCTGAACGATTTATTTTGTGTAGCGCTTTTTCCAACGTGTTACCTGAATTGAAATTCAAATTATATATATATATATATATATATATATATATATATGTCTGTGTGTGTGTAGTATAAGATTTAAGTATTTTGCAATAAGTCCTATAATTACCTGAACAACTATTAGCTGATTGTCGTAGCCAAAGCCTAATCATAACCATTGCTTGCTGTGATACATTATTTGGATATTGCTCTTTAACTAAATTGATATCAGATTCTGATATACCAAGTTCTTGAGCAAGTTCGACCCAGTCATTTTCAAGTAAATTGCATATATCAGCCAGTCTAATATCAGCCCTATGTATAATATCTGGTTGACCTGAAATGATAAAAAATATTGCATTATATTTGGTAAGGTCCTTTGTTGTTAGTAATAAATTTATTTACTTAATTTCGAACTTTTATATATGTTTATAACCTCAAACTGAAGCCAAAGTCAATAGCAGTAAATAATATTTTCTTACAATATTAGAAAGTAAAAAGTATTATTCTTGATTTTTCGTCATTTTCTTAATATCAAATGTTGATAGAGATTAATAATGAAGTTTGAACTAATAAAGTGAGCCCAAAATAGTGAAAAGTCGATAGTAAATTATTAGTATTTTGACTAATATAATCAAATTGTAAACATTTGTTGATTTTAAAATATACTTACTTGAGACACTATCCCGGAAAAATCCTAAATTCATACCAGTTAAAGATGATAAGTCATTATCAGTATTTTGTGGAATAATTTGATCCGGAAGAACAACGCTCAAGTTGCAAATAGGTGTCTGCACTGGTTCACCTTTAGCAACTTTAGGTTCACTCATAAACAACATTCTGCCAGTACTGCTTTCATCAGCGTTTTTAATACGAATTGTAAATGCTAATCTATTTTCTTTAAATGCTTTGAATTTCAATTGAATCTGGTCTCCTGATTTCATAACAGGTACTAAATTTCCTGCAAATTCCATATAAATGTTATTTTCCTCTAAAACTTCGACATCTCTGCTTTTGGCAACTTCTATAAAATGTTCTTGGTGTTCTAATGTTTTGTCTTCTTTGTCATCTGTCATACAAAACACACGAATGAGAGCCAACTGTGTGTCGATCCGTTTTGCAAATACAACAAACTTGGCCATGAATGGAGCGTGAGATGCTTGAGTGTACAATTCAGTGGCCATTTTAGTGGCATCACTGATATTTCTACAATCCATCAACCAGAATCGAGCCGATACTGTGGTTGTAAAGGATACGCAGTCTTTGACAAAAGTTAAAGGTGTGGAACCAGTAACATCTTCCCATACTGCACGATTTTGCCCTCCAGTTATAGAACACAGAAGACGAAGTGTTGGTGCTGATCCTGAATACTGATTAATCATTCCTTGGCTGTGGGGCTTAGGAGCAGGGATGCTAAGAGTGATGGCTTTGTGGAATTTACGTCTTCGAGGCTCAACAGTCACCACAGGAGATACCGCAACGCCTCTTCCAAACAATTTCGCGGTCATTTCCGTATCTATCGGATGTGCTTGCAATCCTACTCTAATCTTTTTCGTCAGCGCATTTGCCGGAAATACTGCTTGAACTTGTGGAACTGCACAGGACGATACAGTGCCACCTTCTGGACCAATAGCATGGACTTCTTGTCGGATGCGACAAATTAAAGCAAAATAATGAGGAAAATCTGTAGTTAAGATTCTACAAATGCGATTGGTATGAAGATCTTCTAAACAATTTAGGTCATCTCCTTCAAAACTTTCGTTCAGTACATCTTGCACAGCTTCTTCGCTATTTTGTAACGTATGTTCCCGCCATGTTTCACCATTCTCAGAACGCAATACTACTATTTCACGTTCTTTATTCCGCAAAGAGGCAAAATGGGGTACTTCTAAAATTACTGGCCTAAGTTGAAAAACAAATCAATTGTACAAAGAAAAGCGACATAAATATATAAAGATGAAAAAAAGGTAACACATTTTTTAAGTTTTTTTAACTATCAGATGTACTATCAAAAGTAGTACTCAAAATAAGGACTTATTATTATTATTTGCAAAGAGATTAATTATTATATTATTATTTTTTTTACCCCAAAAATTTAGCGCCGATGGGACCCAATTCCAAGATCCGACTGGCCAAGGTCTCTCCCTCCATGAGTGGTGGTGCATGCGGTGCCCGATGAGTCTTCACATAGCGGCAGGTGATTCTCGTCGGTTGCGGTGCCGATTTCGGCGGAACGATCACTCGCACACCGCTATGGCGACAGCCGCGCATTGCGCCACCACGGGCATCCACAAGAAACGATACTAAGAAACTTTAAAAAATAAGATTTATTAAGTAAATTGAAGATATTGCGGTCAATACGATCACATGAGACAAAAAATATTATGGTAATATATTTACGAAATATATACATCTAACTCTACTTACGTAACTGTGTAAAATCAAAGTATACAATAACACTGTGATCAAACAAACTTACTTTCAATATTCTTGTAACATGGCTCAAATATTTTTAAGTGAATTTACTTTTTACCCTCTCACACGATAAGCAAGAGGTACGCATCATAGTACACATGGTGTCTAGCTTCATTATTATTAATCAAAATCCAACTAAAACGCAAATAATTTGTGACGTGCCAACTCAAATCAAGTAATTGGAATCATTCCAAACAAGCCCTTAACAACCTGGCTTGAATCACAATTTACTGGATTCGAATCAAAACGTATCAAGCCGAGAAATATTTAATGTTATACAATATGTATGAAAAAAATTTGAATAAATATAAAAAAAATCATTGAAAAAATTGAAATCGAATCATTCGAGTTAATTGCATGATCCGAATTGAAACGAGTTACTTGTTACTCGTTTGCATGCGAGCCATTTAACTTCTGAATAGTTGCGCAGATACAACAGCATTTATTTATTAGACGGAACGCCGAGACCGAATTCGTTTGTGAAATATCAATACCTAATTTCGATAATAAATATACATCAATTCAGGACATGATTTACCTTGTTTTTGTAATATGTAGTATGAGTTTCAAAATGTTATCAGAATAAACCATTTTATATTCGGCTCTCCGTTTAGATGCAATCCTTTGCTGATTATGAAATAAAATAAACACGATATCAATCGAACCAAGATTCTAAGCACTGTTTTATATGCTTTAGTGATGTAGAAGTGTTGGTTATCTATTATTGTATTTTTTTTTTAAATATATTTTATTCGTCTTTAAAATTAAAACATTTTTGTAAACAATTTTTTTTATAGTAAATTATGTTTACAATCTACTTTGTCAAATATAATGGTCAAACTCGACCATTTTTAACAGAAATTTTGATACCATTTACTGAATAAATACAACGATGAATTTTTTATTGTATAGGTTATATCGTTTTAGTGTGATATTGTGCTGATAGAACGAAAATATTGAGCAAAATTTTTTGGCCAAACTTATATATCCTTGGGATCGTTCATAGATAATATGACACGTTTGATAATATAATAGATCGTATACTCTAGTTGTGCAATCGTCTTGTTTTAATCAAATGTTGTAAAACTATTAAAAAAAATTAGAGACATTTGTACCAACAAATGCTACTTTTTCATAGAGTTGCACTTAGATTTTTTTTTATTCAGGTAAATGTTACTTCGAATGAAACGATCGTTTTTGCTCCGAATTGAATTATAAATATGGATAAAATGACAAATTCTGATTAAAAGTAAACAAGAACGATAAGCTCACAATAAATATTTTTAAGCATCATAATCTGGTAATTATTTGAATTAATATCTTATTAAAAATATATAAATAAATTATATTAATTCTACACATTTATACATATGCAAATGATACAAGCAAACTTTAAATTTGGCATTAAACAAGACAGTAATTGCATGCAAAACTAACCTGTTCTTGATTATAATAATTACATTTGAATGCATTATGCAATATTAATGATAATTACCAACCTAAAATTATTATAAAAAAAGAACTTAAAAGTCAATATAAGAATTAGAATGTTCGGAAAGTAATTTCTTTTGTTCGACATAGGATGTAATTATATTACAATGAACTGAATAGATGCTCAAAAGTGTATCTGTAGCCTTCTAAATGAGGAAGACAATAAGCAGCATTTATGTTTTACTTTACTACGGGATGAGAAATTAACTAATGTATATATAAAAAAATGCTAACAGTTCCACAAAACCAAAATTGACTTTTTAATATTCGATTCAGATTGATTGAAGTAAACAGCTATGCTCCATAATACTATTAAAAATGCTCAACTAAAATCAACCACATGACTAATAAAATACATTGTTAAGAACCTATTTCAATCTCTCAATATTTACGAACATATGTCTTTAATCATATATTACAACATTTACTAGTGTACATTACAAAATATTGAATAATAAAATTTAGCTTTGTTATGTATCAAAGTTTGCTGATAAAACTATGTACAAAAAGCTATTTATATAAAAAAAGTTAATAAAAAAAATACTGAAAAAATAAATAGTTACGGAAGATAAACAAAATACTTTGAAAAAAAAAGCTCTTTCTTAGGTACCTCGCCCTAGACATAGGATGTATCTTTATCCGCCTGCTTCCTGATGTAATTCTGGGAGCAAAGTCGTTTACTCTAAAGGTTAAATAAACATAATACCACATGAAAGACATTTCATCGTTAAGATGATAAATTATCGCACCTCATTACAAATATTATTTTAAGCAATACATAACCATTAATTGTTTTACTAATGACTAGCTAAATGTAAGCAATCCAATTAATTTATATATAATAGCACATTGTTTTTATCAGTCCTTATCGAAATCCCCTTGTCATTTATTTTTATTACACTATATGAAAAAACTAAACAAAAAAGCTAATATCAAGTGTTACTTATCAAATTTAATTTCGAGCAGGTATAATTCTAAATACCAGCAAAACCAAGAATCAGAGTTTAAGGTAAGGTATTTAACTTTGAGAAATCTAAATGAAAAAAACCCTATAAAAATTGTTTGAAATGCTTTCATTAAAACTATTTGACAGCAACATGCATGACAACAATTATGTTAATATTGATGAACAAATACATCCACCAAACCATTCAATTGATATGCTATATTGAAAAATATTGATACAACCACAAATTGAAATTAGTAGTAGTAAAATTATCTATACCAAAATATAATTGAACTCTTCAAGTTCAAATCTGATGATTTTAATCTTTCTGGTAAAATAAATTACGTATCGGAAGTGCACCTGTATAAAATAGTCGAGCACTCAAGAAAGATTCAGAAGATAGGCAAAGCAAGAAAAGTAAATGTTTATAAAAATGTTAACCAGGCTTTGTCTGGCTTAGGGGGAAAAATAGGCCTTTGCAATAAATGCAGATTTCTGTTCCTTCTACCGGCAGATCCTTTGGCCTGTTTTTAAAAGTAGTTTTGAAATCGAGCTATATGTTTGAACTGATTACTGCGACAATGACGCCCAAGATCTGATAGGATTATGATCGTAGCTTTCTTGACGCTATACAGTTGCGGAAATGTTACTAAAACTAGCATATTTTTAAATATGCGACTTTGTAATTTTTCCATATATTGTATTTTATTGGCAAACTGACATCGGACAGCGCGATGTCCATTTTCAATTAAAAATATAGATCAAAATATGTTTCCAATTGAAACTGCGGTATGAGTGAAATGAAAATGAGAAAAACTCTCAAACTAGTTCTTCCCTGAATCGATTTGGAGTTTAACTCAGCTCAAAGACTTGCCTTAATAGGGCAGTACTACCCATTATTATTTAAAAAATATTTAAATTTTATATCATTTTATACTATATTTTCTCAAAATGCTAAAAAAAATCTTTAAAAATCAAGTCTAAATGTCAAGTTTAAAACTCATTGTTTATTATGACTATATTATTACTGAAGAACCTCGTATGTGGCGCACAATATTTAAAAAATATAGCATATAAGTTAATAAAATGGTTTCTAGCGTGATATTTTTATGAAGTTTGAGTTATGAAATAGATGTAAGAAATCAAGTTGTGATGTTATAGTAGATGACATACCCTATATGAACAGGATTTTTGGCAATATTCACGTTGTATGGAGCACCCAAAGGTTGAGTGTTCATAGCATAATTTTCTTTGTTGTAATGTCGGTTCACAGCTGCTTCGTTAATTATGGATGGAGCTGAAATACAATACATGTAATCTAGATTCTCAATATAATAGTTCATTATGCTAAAAACCTAAATATCGATATTAATAACAATAAAAAAATAAACATGCCAATCAAAAAGTTGAGTCAGTAGGGCTATAATTATAGTTTTTTTTTTAGTTACTTTTATTCAAAAATAATATACCCATAGAATGTCGATTATCGTGCGCATCATCATGAGTTGTATCCAAGCGCATTGACATATCGCCCATGGACTTCATATCATCAACAGTCATATAACGATATTGTTGCTGATCTGACAACATTGGATCTTCTCCTAAAATATACAATAGACAATTATTCATAATCATGGCACATCTTTAATGAGAGCGTACTGCTATTGCATGATAATAGTAGTTTTAGAAATCGCTGTTTTTTTGATAAACAAACCATATATCGAAAGCACATTGTATATTCTTTACATAAGTACTTACCACCTTCATCTTCCGAGTCCGACATGAATGTTTCATGCATGGCTTCTGGTGCAACTACTTTATACTTCTCTTCTATAGTAGTAGTATAATTAGTTGTAATATTTGTTTCAGTTATAATTTTCAGACTTTCCACTACAGTGACATATCCTAACTTATTAGCGATACTTAGAGCCGTTTGTCCATTCTGAAAAAATCGGAGTTGAATAATAAGAAGAATTTTTCTAAAAGTTATTGAGGATTTTATTAGGTTGTCAAATATCTCCCTTCCGCTTTTTTGCTCTTGGTTTATAATACAAAAAGGCGGAAGGGAGATATTTGACAACCTTATATAGTAGTTTTTTCTTAGGAGGTTCAATAGTAATCTCATACCACTCAAAAAACAAAATACAATAAACTAGTAGTGCATGGCCATCATGTCTTAAAGCAAATTGCTGGAACTTCCGTACCGTAATTAAACATTCAAAGAATATAAATGTTGTGAAATAGATTTTTATAAATAATGTAGCTTTAATCATTCGTATCTTATAGACAAAATTTAAGAGCTTAAAGTATTTATTTTAAGTATAATGAGATTTAAAATTGTAGCTAAAATTAAAATTAAAATCCAAAACATATTTTCAAACAAAATTGTCTGCCTTCTTCAATGACTAATAGTTTCTTCACAAGCAGAATGTTTTTTGAATCGCTCAAATCGGATCCTTCGTTCTCTCAAAATCTACGATTTTTTGCACTTTTCCGCATCTACAAAACGGCTGGACTTATACAAATCTTCACTCATTCTCATTATTACAAATTAAATGCTATTTGAATCAATCAAATCGGATGGTCTGTTCTCTCAAAAACTTAATTTCTATTTTCTGAACTCTTTGCTCCGTATCTCCTAAACGGCTGGCCTCCAAAAACTAATTAGGACGTCTCCTTATCAATAGAAATCGAATGTTTTTTTTAATTCAAATCGGTTGATTCCTGCTCCCGAAAACCACACAAAACTCATACACATACAAACATACATCCATATTTTCTAAGGTATACCAAAATGTTCAGAAACCGTAAAGATGTGCAAAAATTTTCATTTTCGATTTTTTGACGATTACTTACCCCAGGGAAAGTTAAAAAATTGAAAATAAATCACAAAAATTTTGTACGCAATTATTCTTGGCGGTTTAAAAAATTCACTTATAAATTTTGATAGACATGATTAATTATTTTTGATTAAGATTCTGCTAAATGATTGGAAACAAAAATTAATATATGTACATAATTAGGTGACAATAAAATACCTACATTGGTTACTGCATTTGGATCTGCTTTGTGCGATAATAATAAATTAATTATCAATGTGTGTCCTTGTTGAGCAGCTTGATGCAACGGCGTATAACCAATTCCTGTTTTAGCATCAACCTCTCCTTTGTTTTCGAGCAAAAATCTAACCATATTCACTTGGCCAAAATGACTGGCAATATGTAAGGGCGTGTAACCTTGTTTCGTAGCAGCATTGACATCAACTCCGCTATTGATTAAAATTTCTGCTAATGGCACTCGATCTTCCTGCGCACAAAGATGAAGTGGAGTGAGTCCTGATCTAGCGGGTTGGTTGACATTAGCTTTGTGCTCCAAAAGCAGGGCTGACATGTCAGTGTGTCCTTCTTGAGAACTCAGATGCAAAGGAGTAAAACCGGCTTTGCTTTCAGCATTCGGAGGTGCTCCATGATCGAGAAGAGTCGTAGCAATATCCATTTGATTTTTCCGGGCAGCTATGTGCAAAGGTGTATGGCCGTTCTTTGCAGTCACCAATGGTGAGGCGCCGTTAGCCAAAAGTAATAAAGCTACTTCCTGATGATCGTAATGACTCGCGATATGTAAAGGAGTTACGCCATTTTTGCCCTGAGCATCTACAGGAGCTTTTTTTTGGAGCAACAATTTAGCAATTTGAATATTTCCATACTTGGCAGCTAAATGCAAAGGTGTGAAACCTGCAAAAGCAATGCTTATACATTATATCGTTCTTGATTTTATTAATTCCAGTACACATGTACACATGCTTTAGAAGTTTAACGTTCGAAACAAATAACGCATGACTTTAAATAATCATCGTGCACTAGAACAAAAATAGTTCAATTTTTTAAGAAACAAACATTAGGGAAAAAAGTTTAATTCCAAAAGATTGAAAAGTATTGTACTTGAAAGATACTGGAAAATCAAAATATAATAAAATATAGAGACAGTATCGTGTCTAATAATATTATTTAATTCAAGTACCTTTTTTTGTAGTCGCATTCAAAGAAGCACCGTTTTCGATTAAAGTATTAGTCACTTCTTCCTGCCCCTCTTTAGCCGCAATATGCAGCGGAGTATAAAGATCTTTAGTTGTCGCATCTATGTTAGCGCCATGCTGCAACAGCAGCGTGACTATGTCCACATTTCCCAAACGTGAAGCAACGTGAAGCGGCGTCTGCTCCTCCCTAGCTTTCGCATCCACGATAGCTCCGTTACGCAATAATATGCGTATGATGTCCGTCTGGTTAGCTCGAGCAGCTAAATGAAGAGGAGTTTCTCCGCGAACAGTTGGCACATCGGGGCTCGCTTCGTTTTGTAATAAAAATATAACGATGTTCATGCACCCCATGAAACTAGCAACGTGGAGGGGAGTCAAACCACTTTCTGTCGTTGCGCTTATGCCTGTAAAAATAATTTGAACATCCGATTTTGTGATTGCAAAATTGCACATGTATAACAACTAACATAGATTGCGTTGTCAGTTTTCTTTCATCATCATTTGCTTTTAAAGAAAACGAAACGATTGTATAAATTCAGCCTAACCAGGTGTGCTAAATGTCGAAACCTTGGTAGTATTATTTAAAAACTTCAAAACACAATTGACTTACTTGCACCATGTTTCAGCAATACTTCTACGACTTTAATTCGATTCTTTTTACAGGCTATATGCAGAGGCGTAAAACCATTAAGGGCCCTAGCATTGGCATTTGCATTTCGATCTAATAACAACTTGGCGACACGCACGTGACCACAATGCGCGGCCACATGTAAGGCGGTCAGGTAATCCACAGTAACATCGTCGACGGCCGCCTGGTGGTAAAGAAGTATACGAGCTGCGTCCACGTGCTCGCCTTGAGCTGCCATATGTAGCGGCGCCAAGCCATTCTAAAATAAAATGAAACATTTTTTTGTATTTATTATAGCAGCCTATATAAAATATGATAAGCTGATATTTTAGACAAATACATTGTGCGAAAAAGTAACTGGTCATTGCCAGCTCCTCGCGATATGATACAATTAAAGAACATTATTACGCCTATTATGGCATTTTCACCAGACGCTTGGGCGGATTTAGATATGAAAGTTTGTATTTCGTTTCGAGATAATTTAATATTTAATAAAATAGATCGATCAAATCGGTTTTTCGTAAATAAAGCATACCTTAGTCTTCGATTGTATCGGGGCTCCATTTTCAAGTAACATATCCACTACTTGATCATGACCTGATCTGGCTGCGCAATGAAGAGGTGTTAAACCGTCGCGGGTTTTACTCTCAATATTTGCTCCTTTTGAAATCAGCAACGATACCATATTTATCTTACCTGTAACACAAAATCAAACAATGAAATGATAAGTATAGCGGAATGTCTTCAACAAAAATTGAAGAAAAGTATTTTAATGACGATGGATTACCAATCACAAATTTGTAATACAACTCCAATAATCCGAGTTGACATAAGAATCAGTTGACTGTATTAAACCAATATCGGAACTATTAAATGAGAAGGTGAAAAATATCTACTTCAAACGAAAATAAAATCAAAGCAATTGCCCAATAATTATTAGTATATGTCGAATGGTTTAACACAGATATAAAAAATATGTACTTTTATGAAATAATAGTTTCGAGGAAAGATATAAAAAATATGTAATATGAAAACAGAAAAAATCTCCTCACCCCATTTAGAAGCGACGTGCAATGGAGTTATATTATGTTTGGCGGAGAAGTTGACATCTGCGCCCTTCTCATACAGAAGATTTGCGATATTGTCATTTCCATAATGCGCTGCAATATGTAATGGAGTGAAACCACTTTTCGATGTTACATCAGGATTATGTTCATTCTGAAAAATCAATTGAACAAAAATCAATAATTATGGCCTGCTTTGCTTTTAAAAGATTATATAGTCCAAATATAATGTAAATATAATAACAATAATACATTTAATTTATGATTTGCGTCCACAGAACAATTTTTTTTGTTTATTTTCAGTTCGGTTTGATTTTTTGAATCTTTGTTTTTATATATATATATATATATATATATATATATTGAATGGTAGAATCTTGGATTTGTGTATATTTTGTAGAGTTTCGAACAAGAATCCAAAAATAATAAAAAATAAAAAAACAAGAAAAGTCTATTATGTTTAATATCCTGTTCTGATAATCCACTCATTTATTTTTATCATTTTCATTTTGAACATATTATCATATTTCTGTACATTATTATATTTTTTTTTTGCAATTAATTCATTATTTAAGAAAAATCTATTTTTCTTTTCCTAAACATATTGTTTGCTAAAATCTCATCAAGATCATGTTTCTTGACAGATGTCCTGAAGATGGAACGTACCTAGTTCCAAAACGTCGACAGTAAACAAATAATTAAATAAAGAAATTGTTTATTAAAAACTTTTCTTGTTTTTTTATTTTTTATTATTTTTGGATTCTTGTTCGAAACTCCACAATATATATATATATATATATATGTATATATATATATATATATATATATATATATATATATATTATAGTTATAACAACAATAACAATAAATAAGCGCAATGAACTCAACAGTCTGTGAGTCTCACTTAAATCTCTTTTATTAACTTCCCGTAGGGTAAGTTATTGTAATGGGCCGAAAATCGGAATTGAAAATTTTTACATTTCTCGACGTTTTGAAGGTTTCTGAACGTTTTGGCATACCTCAGAAAAAATGGATGTGTGTGTGTGTGTGTGTGTGTGTGTGTGTGTGTGTGTATGTATGTGTGGATACAAATTTCCAGTCACGTTTTAGGGCGCACGGATCAACCGATTTGAATGGTTCAAAAAACATTCGATTCCTATTGATTGGGAAAAGAGCTGATTAGTTTTTGGCAAAGGCAGGTCCAGCCGTTTCGGAGATACGGAGCAAAGAGTGCAAAAAATAGAAATCAAATTTTTGAGCGAACGGAGTATCCGATTTGAATGATCTAAAAAACATTCAATTAGTAATGATTGGGAGAAGTGTTATTAGTTTTTGGCAAAGGCAGGCCCAGCCATTTCGAAGATACGGAGCTAAATATGTAAAAAATGGCAGTTTTTGAGAGAACTAAGCGTCCGATTTAAATGATTCAAAGAACTTTCTGCTTGTCTTAACAAAATAATTGATTTTGGAAAAAAAAATTTTGTTCCAATTTTTTTTTTTTTTTTTTTTTTTTTTTTTTTTTTTTTTTTTTTTTTTAGTATTTTGTATATCGAAAATATTTCAGATTTTATTTTTAATTCTGACTATAGTTCTACTATACTTTAGAAATAATTTCAACTCTGCAATTCGGTTTATATAATTCTTATAAATATTAGACAATGTTACTATATTTATAATAATCTATTTGAAAACATTCAATATTCCTCGAACATTTCGTTACGGTGCGGGAAGTTCCAGCAATTTGCCTCAAGGCACGATGCCATAATTGCCTCAAGACAGAATTCCACTTACAGCTAGTTTAGATAGTATTTACAAATTTCTCACAAAACAATAAAAAATGTGCGCAAAGTATTCGAAATTAGTTCACACATTCGTAGGATATGGTTAAAACTATTTTTTAAAAACTCATTTCTCCTTTATGTCTTCAACCAGTTTACGGAAAAAACATATATTGCACATATCTATTGCGATTTTTGAAGTTAGTATTTTTTGAAATATTGTTTAATTTCAAGTTTAATATTTATATTACATAGTGTAGTGGATTACCATCTCCGGATTATTGAAGTTTCTGTTTTAACACTAAAATTAACTAATTGTAAGTACTTTTTACTCTTTGTAATTTTTTCCAATTCAATTGTTTTACATTTTAAATTTTATTTTTAGTTGCCATTAAATGAAGGCTAGGATTATAGCCAAAACATATAGATGTAAAATAATTTTTTAAAAGAAGTTTATGTTTTTTATTCATACTATGCGCTATTATTATTAGACTTAGTTAATATATATAATCATTATTTTTGATGTTGAGATATGTATATATACAGATATGGCAGTATGAAGTGAGCGTTTTTTGCGAAAATAAAATGCTAATTATCCCACATATTAAACTAATCAGTCATAATTCAGTCAATTTGTAGAAACAAACAAATTGTTTTTCTTTTGAAGCAAACCAATCAGACACTCAATTTTCGAATTCCTCATAAGAATCGAAGTGCTGCTCAGGTAATGCGTTTCCTATCGATGAAAATAAATGGTAGTAGGAAGAAGTCTAGTGAATATGGCGGGTGGAGTAGCAGCTCAAGTTTTTTGGTTATATCCTGTTTTAACTGCTTTTTTGCGTGCAGGTGCATTTTCATGCAGCAAAATTACCATGCCTTGTTTTCTGAATAATTCTGGTCATTTTTCGATCAATGAAAGGTTCAAATTCAAACAAATGCAAGGATCATTTGTTGTCGGAAGCAATTAGTATTAACGGTTCCGCTAGATTTTAGAAACTCGCAATACACCACGCCACTTTGGTCATATGCATTGTCTTCTTGCCGAATTGATCTGGTTAAGCAGTCGATGTTGAATTTGTCCATGACTTTTTTCGTTTGGGATTTTTAAAATAGATCAATTTACATCAATTTATTATCAATACAAAATTGATTTTCTTTTGTGCCTTTGAAACAAAATTTCACAAGTGCTTTTCGGTTTCTACCTGCCTTTCATTCGCAACTCACGGGGCACCTATTTTACAGAGTTTTTAATTTTTTCTATAGCTTTTAAACAAACGGTCAGAAAAAGTTGTATTTGCAACATTTAACCTTTCTGCTATTTGTTTATAAGTGAAACACCAATATTGCTTGCGCCTCCAAACTTATTTAGTGGTTTTCTACGTTCTTCATTTCACACAACCAAATCATTATTTCGGGTAAAAAAAACCATCTTTCATGTTGCTTCTGATGGAGCATGGTTACCATAAGCTTCGGCAAGCATTCGATGTAACTCTACAGCGCTTAGCATAGAAAATTAATACTCACTGAAAATTAATTATACATAAATACACTACACTATTACGCAATATTCAACCAAGCTATTAAGAATTGGAACATTTAAAACTATATAATTAGTTTTGAGTTACATTTTAGTACAAAGTTGTTGATGTCTAAATACTGAATAAATTGTGTTTACAATTTTTTCTTTCGAAAGTGTAAAGAAGACTGGTAAAACACATGGTTTTTGGTGAAGTAATAAAAGACACACTTCATTCAGATGAAATGGAAAATGGTCAAGGATTATTGTATAGTTATTGTATAATGGCCTCCTTTTAATAAATTAATTTCAAAATGTAAAATGTACTACAAATTAAACGCAATAATCGATTACTGTTTGACCAAAAGCTCTACGTTTTACTTATATTATTTTCAAACTGCACGGGATAATTTTTTTTTCATGCTAGTCACAATCAATCCTGTTGCCCCGGATCATAATTCTCTTTTCTTTCTTCCCTTTCAAATTCAATGTATTTTATATCGGTTACTTAACAAACAAAGTAATTCGATTCTAGAATAACTTGCCTCTAATAATAATACAGCTGCCTTAACGTCGTCTTTTTTTGCAGCGATATGCAGAGCCGGCAAACGCACTTTGCCACGTGAGTCGTTCTCGAGTAAGACCGCAACTACGCGGTCGTGTCCTTGTTGCATGGCAACAGCCAAAGGCGTAAAACCATCCTGCAAAAAAAAACAATACTGTAATAATAATAAAACTTAAAATGACTATATTTAAAATCTTTCACGTTAGCATAGCACAGCAAAAAAAATATGCACAGTGGTATCCGACATACGAGTTTCGTTCCGTAACCACGATCATATGTAGTATCACTCGTATCTCGAAGCAATTTTCCCCATATAAAAATATTGAGATGTTATTCATTCGTTCCAGCACTGTGGGTTTGTTAAGTCATTTACATATTAAAAATAAAATTACTTTCGATTAATTAACTTCCGGTATAGCAAGTTATAGTGATCGACAAAACATCGAAAATGAAAATTTTCTATATCTTCACGTTTTAGAAGTTTCTGAACATTTTAGCATACCTCAGAAAAAATGGATGTGTGTATGTGTTTGTGCGGATACAAATTTTCGTCGACGATTTGGGGAACGCGGGTCAAACGATTGGTGGGTAATTAAAAAACATTTGATTCCTATTGATAAGGAGACATGCTGATTAGTTTTTGGCGAGAGATTTTAATAATAAGCACGGATTTTGTTTAAAATTCTATGAGTACCGTACAAGTCTTTATCCGTTAGACAACGCAGCTAACGAAGTGCGATTGCTTTAAAAAAACCTTCAAATTATAAAAAAATTTCGAATTTTTATAAAATCTAATGTCAAATTCTCAAAATCTATTTTTTAACATTTTCAAAGAATTTTAAAGCTTTTTTTATAAATTTTCATTTTTTGGCACAGAAAGTTCCAATAATTTGCCTTAAGGCACGATGCCATGTTCCACTAGTTGTTTTTTTCTGTCTTCTTTATAATTCTGAGGAAAGATGTTAGTCATGTATATCTTTTGGGAGTGATTTTTATCTACAAGCTCTAAAAGCTCACAAAGCCGGGATTGACGGCCAGGAAGGTTTTGCTGTGTGTTTAGTGGGATTGGAAGGGAATCATCCACTATGAGCTGCTCCCATATGGCCAGACGCCTAATTATACCATCTACTGCGAACAACTGGACCGCTTGAAGCAGGCGATCGACCAGAAGCGTCCAGAATTGGCCAACAGGAAGGGTGTAGTGTTCCACCAGGACAACGCCAGACCACACACTTCGTTGATGACTCGTCAGAAGCTACGGGAGCTCGGATGCGAGGTTTTATCGCATCCACCATATAGCCCGGACATAGCGCCAAGTGATTAATACCTGTTCCTGTCCATGGCGAATGCCCTTGGTGGTGTAAAGTTGAACTCAAAAGAGGCTTGTGAAAAGTGGCTGTCCGAGTTCTTCGCAAATAAGGAGGGGGGCTTCTACGAGGGAAGTATTATGAAGTTGCCGTCTAGATGGAAACAGATTATCGAACAAAACGGCGCACATTTGAATTAAATCCGATCACTGTAACACTTTTTATAAAGCATTGAATAAAGAGCAAAAAAGCGGAAGGGAGATATTTGACAACCTTATATATGATGGTATGATGTGTTACAATCTTACGTCCTCGCCATCCTCATATTTTCAATTTTTCCATATTTTGATAGGTCATACCAAATAACATTCCAAAATTTTAAATCGCTATCTTAAATAGTTTGAGTTACAGCCATTTAAAGTGTATATATAGTATATAGTATAACGATCATTTAATCTTTAAACGCGTTTTTCTCGAAACAGCATTTTCCGAATTTGCTGCAGCGATTACTCAAAAACAAATGATCCGATCACTATCAATTTTTTTACATATTCTATATATATAGTTCTCCGTAAAATGAACGGATTCGATTTTTTGATCGGATCAAAACTCGAATTTTGAGTCCAAAAGCGACCAAAATTTTGGGTAAAATTCGACTTTTTTTTAAAAAAAACGCCGCCATTTTGCCAATTTTTGATTTTTGTTCTTTATCGTAGTTCAATTTACAGACAATAATATCTAGTTTAACAAATTTTTTTTTTTAAATTTCATCCACGTAGAAAGCCGGAATCATTACAGCAGTGAAGGGTCTTTTTTTGTCGCGCCGTTAGAGATCGACGATAACTTAAAAAATATTTAATTTTTTTCTTCAAAAATTTTACTATGTATTCTTAAGACATGTATAAATATATTCCTAAAATTTTGAAATGATTGATAAAGTAGTTTTTTTAATATAAATTCCCAAAAATCACCTTTTTTTGGGCGGTTACACTAGTTGTGCCCCTTAATGTAATAGACATGGCCCTTTTCTTTGGACCCATAGTTATAAAAGTAAATAATATTTTGACAAAATACAAAAAGCAAAAAACGCGAACTCAACACATAACTGTACAGCCACTATTAAAGTACAGTTGAAAATTCAAACGTTGAAATAAACCTAGATTTATTCGCGTGGGTAAATCTTACAACAGACGTAATATTAACCCTTTCCACTCGCGAATTCCGAGATTTATATGAATTTTGCCGCCGAAGCGGCGGCATCCGAGTCGAAAGGATTTATATATAATTGAAAGAAGTAACTATAAAATAATTTACTATTATAAAATAGTCAATATATGTCTATTATAGGAAAACTCATTATTACAAACAGTGGTGTTGTGCTAATATTTTTTTACCGGAAGGCTAAAATTAAAAAAACGGTTTAAAAACCGGTTCTCATGTTTGTTCCGGTTCCGTTCGAAAAGGAAAGAAACCAAAATCATTACAAAAACCATTTTGTGCATATATATGTAGGTTTATTACAATAATAGGAACGTTTAATAAAAATCAGCTAAATCATAAATTATAAAATTCACTTATCAAATCATTTTCTGTATGTAGCGGTTTTACTTTTTCAATTTTTTTGCCGGAACGACGTTCCGGTGTGTTCCGGCTCGACAACACCACTGATTACAACCAACGAAAATTTTCATATTTTCATTTTGTCATTGACATTTTTCTAGAAAGCTGTTGCTCGCTCAAAGTTCGAGAATCGATTCGTTGGCGGCTCGCATCTTGAAACACTCGTAAGTCGGGGTACCACTGTATTTGCGTATGTTGCGTTTTAAGTTCGGCAAGAATAGTTAATTATTTGTTTCAAACCCCGTAGTGAATCTCAAATATCTTAAATCGGGGTTCCACCCAAGATCTTACCACTGAAACATTTGAATGAATGTGTTAACAAAATATGTATTCGTCCTAGTTTTAAATCAAGATTATGTATGACATCTACGAAAAATCATTTATGGGATTGAAAATATAAAGCATTAACATTTTCTTTAATTTAGCGCTTATTCCTGCCTATAGCGCGATTTTCAAAAAACGCGAAAGCCGGTTTCCGTAGAAGGCGCTACGATTTGCATACGTTAAATTCGAGTTTCTTCAAGTGCAGTTTCAATATTACTGACGTAAACTGAGTTAAGACTGTAGTATTAGTAAAAAACATAATAATTTTTAACCAATTGGTAAATATCAGTATAATATCAAAAATATAGAGATACGTTCAGTGGAAATACTAACAACAAGCCATGGAAAAGCAGCGATAACAAATATTGGTTGGAATCCGTCATTAAGAAAACAGCAGTAAATATCCAACACTAAATTTTTTTAACCCGAAACATGAACAATCTCGCCTTATTGTCGTTCACTTTATTATTAGTATGTATTTTATATAGTTCTCTCGAACTCGGACACAGACTTCCCATCCGATCGCAATTTTCGAATCATGCCGAGCGAGTGCAGTGTCATGTAGTAATGACTAAACCTTCGTTCTGGAGTCATCTTTTTGTTTAGTTATTTATACACATATATATTCATGTACAATTTTAGAACACTTTCAGTCCCATGCATTTATATCTGTGATTTTCGTAATTCCGCGCACAAGCCGAAGCAGAACAGAAGTCCAACATATTAGTGTTAGAAGTATCGAGGCAAAGTATCGATACTGAGTACTAAAAAAAGAATCGTGGCAAAAAAATGATACTACTCAGTATCGAATATTGAGTACTTTTCATCAAAATCAAACATAAGTACAAGAAAGACCCAAAACTCACTAAAGATCGTATTACAATATTATGATAAATTCTATTGCCTGTATTTGATGCTGTTAAATCAGCATCATTTTCAATATTTTTACAAGTTTAAAACAATAATTTTTCGATACTAATTTCAAATTCGATTTTCATAAAAAAAAACTCAATAATAATAAAATAGTATCATTTTGTGACGAAAGTATTCATTTATGAATTTATTATCGGCTAATTTATATCAAATAGAAAAATACTCAATAATTATAAAATAGTATCGTTTTGTGACGGATAGAAAAGATCGAATCGAGTGACGAAAAGATAGATCGAAGTATTTATTTATGAATTTAGTATCGGGTAATTTATATCAAAAAGAAAAATACTCAACAATTATAAAATAGTATCGATTTGTGACTAAAGTATATATCAAATATCGAACTTTGAGTACTTTTTATCAAAATCAAATGTATGTGCAAAAAAGACCAAAAACACGTTAAATATCAAATTACAATATTATAATAAATTCTTTTGTTTGTATGTGATGTGTTAAATCAGAATCATTTTCACTATTTTAAAATGTTTGGTTTAAATGTTTAAATTTTTCAAAACTAATTTCAAAGTCGATTCTTTTTTTAAAAAAAAGACCAGTTATAATAGTTGAGTATTATTGGTTAAAACAATATAACCGCTATTAAATCACAATATTTGCTATTTACAAATAAACACTGAACACTTGCAATGCGAAGCATATGGAAATTTTAATAATAAATTTTATTTATATTTCTATGGGGTACGTACCAACGTTTATACGCTAGATTGCAACGCGGCGCTTACGCGCTTCAATATTCATCACTACGCAGCTGACGAAATTGCTTTGAAAAAGTTTAAAATTTCCAAAATATTTCAAAAGATAAAAAAAAAACAAATTTTGTAAGTCTATTTTTCAATAATTTCAAACTTCTCAAAGATCTATTTTTTATAGTTTTAAAAATATTTTAAATCTTTTTTAAAAAATTCAACTTTCGGTACGGAAAGTTCCAGCAATTTGCCATAAGGCACGATGCCATGTAATATGCTAATATATTTTATTAACTTCCTGTAGGGTAAGTTATAGTAATCGCAAAAAAATCGAAAATAAAAATTTTGATATATCTTTACGTTTCAGAGGTTTCTGAATATTCTGGCATACCTTGGAAAAAATGGATGTATGTGTGTGTGTGTGTGCGTGTATGTATGTGTGTGCGGATACAAATTTTCGTCGATGATTTCGGGAACACGGATGAAGCAATTTGAATAATTTAAAAAACATTCGATTCGTATTGATAAGGAGACGTGCTGATTAGTTTTTGGGGGAGGTAGGTCTAGCCGTTCCGAAGATATGGGGCAAAAAGTTCCAAAAACGGTACCTCAGTTTTTAAGAGAACGGAGCGTCCGATTTTAAAAATTCAAAAAACATTTTACTTGTATTGACAAGATGAAGAAATGATCAAATTTTCATAAGGGCAGGTCTAGCAGTTTCGGAGATCTAACGAAAAAAGTAAAAAAAAATGCCATTTGGAGGTCAAAAATGATCATTAGACATATGCACATCAAATTATCAGATATTTTATAGAAATTTTAACAATAAGTATAAATTTTGTTTACATTCCTATGGGTTCCGTATCAATGTTTACCCGTTAGAGAGCGACGCGGCGCTTACGCGCTTTATATTTTGTCTCTATGCAGTTAAAGCAGTACGATTGCTTTGATCTTCCAAAACATGTCATGAAAATAAAGAAATTTTTTTTAAATATTTTTTCAAAAAAAATAATTTTTTGTCCAATTTATAGTTTCTCAAAAATCTTGTTTTTTCGAAATATTTTTTTTTCAAAAATGTTAATCGTTTTTAAAAAAATAATTTTTGGTACGGGAAGTTCCAGCAATTTGCCTTAAGGCACGATGCCCTAATTGCCTTAAGACAGAATTCCAATTACAGCTAGTTTGATTCTCAATTATAAATGTATGTAAAAATCAGTATATACTTCAAAGTAATTTTCTATTTCAGAGAACCAATGTGGTAAAAATACTCTAAACACATATTCTTGATTGAAAAACTGTTTAATTCCAAGTAATCAAATTTGAATTTCAATAGTGACACATCCAAAGTCACAAATAAATTCTACAGTTCGCGCCAAAAAAATTATTTGGACTTTTTTTGGTTGTTATTAAAATACATATGTGATATAGACGATGCGTGTTCAAGATTTTTTACGCAAAAAATAGGTTAAAAATTTAAATAACATAATAATAAGAGCCAATGGAAAGAAACAGAATGAGAGCAATTTTGAAAAGAGTCGACAACATCAGTTGAATGCGCAAAAAACTGGGCTAACTTCCAGTAGAAAATAGAGTGAAACGTGATGTTGTAACTTTCATTCATAGATTAGAACTAGCACTTCTGTCTCTGTATCTGAATGTGATATAAACAACTCCGTAATTCATAATTATTCAAGAAGATGAGCTAAATTTAATAGAAGATTGGTCTGGATAACACAAATGAAATTTGAAAACTTAGGGCTTTAAACAAATGTAGATACATAATGGGTTAATAGGAATGAATTAATATGTTACTGTAACTGTCAATTACCAATGAAAAAAATTAAAAGTGTGAAAGTTCAAAATAGTTACGTAGGTAAATCAGTATATTATCGATCGACTGACCTCAGTTGCAAGTGTTTGATTAGCTCCTTTAGCCAATAGATATTTGACGCATCCGTCATGATTCTCCTGCGCCGCCATGTAGAGCGGTGTGAATCCGTTCTGAGATTGAACGTTGACCGAGGCTCCGGCCTGCACAAGCACGCGCACCACCTCCTCTTGGCCGGCCAGCGAAGCGATGTGCAGCGCAGTGTTTCCCTTCCTGGTGGCGGCGTCGGGATCGGCATTGCGGCGCAATAATTCACGCACTACTTCCAAATGACCGTCCTTAGCTGCCAGATGCAAAGCGTTCAAGCCGTTCTGAAATAAGATACTTAACATAAACTACAACATTCGAAAAATCAATTTGATCTTTTTAAGCAACCTGTAAATTATAATATTTATCGGTACACCTTTTTCAATTAATAACTTATTTCACTTGACGTAAAATTATTGGTGCGATCTATAATTATTATTATAGAATTCATCCGTTTATTATGATATGCGATTTCCTATTGCAAGTATCTTAGGTGTCGATCTACAAAGGTTTAAGTCAGTGATTTCCAACCTGCGGGGCGCGCCCCCCTGGGGGGCGCCATATCGTTCCAAGGTGGGCGCGACGTTGTTTCAAAAATATTATTTTTAAATGCTGAGTAAGTGTCCAAAACAAATCAGCAAAATACTTAAAGTACTTCTAAGAGTGTTTGAGCTCAAAAAAGAAATTGCTATATTTCTTGCTGATAACAAAAGAGACGCAGCAATCTTGTTTTAGGACACAAAGTTCCTCGCAAAATTTGCGTATTTAGTTGATATTTTTCAAAGACTTAGCGATTTAAACAAATCAATGCAAGGATCTCAAATTCGTGCTTTTGTTCAGAAAGACAAGATTACGGCTTTAATGAAAAAAATAGAACTGTGTATAGCTAGTATCAAATAACTTTATAACTTTAACATGTTTCCCACTTTTAAAATTACTTGTATTACTGATGAAATAGAAGTAAGTAAAGATCTTATTATTATATCAGTCATATGACTAGTCTACGAAACCAATTTTCGCATTACTTTATCTAATTACGTCCAAATACGAATGGATTAGAAATCCATTTGTCATTGAGAAACATGATGATTTTGGTCATTCAACAGCAGAGCAGAAAATGATAATTGATTTATCTAGTAATAGCACATTGAAGCAGATGTTTCAGGACGAAAATATATTGTTGAGTTTTGGTTACCAGTAAAAGACGATTTTCCTACTTTGACAAACAATGCTTTAGAAATTTTATCACCATTTGTGAGATCTTACTTATGTGAAACAGAAAATTCTTATAATAAATAGTTATGTTTGTATGTATATTTTTTATAATACTGTGTATTATTTGGCATAATTTCAGTTATATTAAGTATTTTTAAATTAAATTGTTAGAAAAGGAAGAAAAGGTTGGAAACCGCTGGTTTAAGTAGTTGATATGCATCACAAATGCATTGTTTAATGCGATTACCATATATTAATCAAATAACTGTAGTGAATACATAATAATGTTGACAAAATTAATTTAAATGAAGTTTAAATCCATGGATAAATAGATTATATTTCTTGTAATAAATCACATAAGCGTACCATCCATGTTATCAAACTAATTGTAAGCATCATGAGTATATCTTAACATTAAGATTTCATATTTTGATAATATGTCCCCTATAATATAATATATTACACCGGCTACAAAGAATATTCAAAACAAAAATCACGAGAAGAGATTATCCCTAGGCATACAATCTCACCCCATTATAAAACAAATGATTGGTCTTTTAGGAAACAGAAAGGTAATCATAAATTAGAAATAAAAGTATAAACAATATGCAATTGCTATTTTTTCAATCAATAATAAATTGCTGATTTCATTTTATCAGAAAATAATGGCTTGTATTGACATAAATGTCAATAACTTTCAAACATAAACTTATAAGCTGTATCGCCTAAGGTAAACGGAGAGATATTAGCAAACAATCGTTTTTTTTGTACACAAAAAATAATTAAGTTTTATCACTATTTACGTTGAACCAATTAATTACTGCTGCTATAGCAGAGTTCAATATACATTGCAATTGATCATAACCTACGCTCAAATGTGCATCAAAAAGCAATAAATGAAATAATAAATTAGTGGTACCTACATACGATTACACAGGCCTACAATTTTTTTTTGTTTGGTGCATCAAATGTTAGAGCTGATTCTTATAGTATTTTTTGCGCTGATTTCAAACCTGCAAACCATTTTTTGTCTAGTCTTGAACTTGGAAAGAAGTTGCCGAAACCAGGTCCATTGCAGGTCGTCACGGAAAAGAACTTTTCACAGTGTCAACTAAGGTCCCAACTAAGGCCGAATGGGTCTTGTAAGTTTGTATGTACGAGTAGGCATATATCATTAAAGTAACATTCTGAATTGTATTACTATTTTGTACTTTTATTCCTTATATATCATATATATCATATCTTGAAAACTAAAGCTCATAGAAAAAACCAATGTCATTTTTGAAATCAGCGCCCCAAATATACTTAAAAACAGCATTAAAATCGTTGGCACCATTTTCTTTGTTGGCCTGTGTTATTGGGTACATATACGATTATGTGAAATAGCGTAGCTTGACGTTTTGTAAAATAAATTAAATTAATATTAAAAATATGCGTGAACTTTGAAGCATAACAGGATTCACATATTGAAATAATGTTTTGCTCGTTTTATTTCAAAATTTTTGAAAATATAGAAAATTCACGTAATGACTCCTTTGCAAAGAAATCTAATCTAGGTTTTAATATCTCAAAAGGTTCAAAATAAAATCCTATAGAAAATATCAAGTTTTTAACATCTCTTCATTTTACCAAATAGCGCAGAGAACACCTTGATATTATATATTTATAATTAGTTTTTCCTGATTATTATTAATCCTTATCGGTCACTAGCTTTTCATACGTATTTGCCACTAGGTCGTAGCTGGTCTCGGCAAATATGCAAAATCTCTTAATAAAAAAATGTATTATTAGATACTTTTTTACATACATTATACTTATTTTTGAACTACTTTCGAAATTTTCATTGCTATCATCCCCATAAAAAATTTTAATATTGACTTATTTAACTTCCCGTGGGGTAAGTTATAGTAATGAGCCAAAAATCAAAAATGAAATTATTTGCATATTTCAGAGGTTTCTGAACATTTTAGCATACCACAGAAAAAGTTGATGTGTGTGTGTATGTGTAGAGACAATTTTTTGTCGACGATTTCGGAAGTACGGATTATACGATATGAATGGTTAAAAAAACATTCGATTCCTATTGATGAGGAGACTTGCTGATCAGTTTTTGACGAAGACAGGTCCAGCGCTAAAAATGTCAGTATTAGGGAGAACTAAGCATCTGATTTGAATGATTTTAAAAACTTTCTGCTTGAATCGACGAAACGATTGCTTTTGAGGAAAGATTTTTTTATAATTTGAAAAAAAAAAATGTTTTGAATATCGAAAAATAATTCAGCTTTTAATTCAAATTCTAGCTAAAGTTTTAAACATCATTTATATACTTCAAATAAATAAGTTGAACTTAGCAATTCAGTTTATATGATACTTAATAATTATTAGACAGTGTTCTTCATTTTAAATCCGATTAAGTTTTGTTTATTTACTTTTCATAAAATAAGAATAATAAAAACTACATTATTTACAATAATCTATTTAAAAACATTTAATATTCTTCAAATGTTTTATTAAGGTACGGGAAGTACCAGCAATATGCCTTAAGGCATGATGCCATACACCATTAGTTTAATTTTGATTGGTTTGATCGTCGTCACTTTCCAGGCTAAGGGAGTTTTTGATATAATCTGGATCAAAAACTCTTCTTGAACTTAGAACCCCAAAAGCATCGATCATATACAAAAGGAACATGTCGTCCTCGAAAACAAAATTCTTCCATATCTGTATTTCTAAAGTCAATCAAAGTACGTTGAATGCACATATTACAGTAAATGCTTCTCAATAAAAGACCGCATCATAATCTATTTACCACGAATAGAATTCTGAAGACGCTCAAAGCTTGTATATTTGTTTACAGAGCGCTCTCATGCATGCAACTCTTATTTTCCTTCGCAAATAAATGGGTAGATTGTAGCAAGCCGACAATGAACTTTATACTCATAAATAAATACTATATAAAAAGCTATTTCCTCATTGCAATTTAATAAAATACAGTGAATCCCGAATAAGTAAGAAAATTCTTATGATATAATTAAAATGAAACTCGGAAAAAATTGTATTATAATGTTGCTGTAATAGATAATTTTCATATTTTTAATTAACGAATGATTATTTTCGCCATAAAATATAACTTAGCATATATAACAGAAAGTGCATTATAAGTCAAAAAAATTAAAAGCCAATTTTGGCAAAACAATATAGAGATGGTCAAAATTTTCTTTTTGATTATTGATCAAACCACTTCCTCAAAATTAACAGGATTTTAGTGTTTCAAACAATTTTAAACCGTTTTACTTACCGCATTGGCAGCGTTGATGTCGGTGACTGTGCCCTGCTCCAAAAACTCGAGAGCTGCGCCCAGGTGTCCAGCCCTGGCAGCCCGCAGAAACGCAGTGTTGGGGTCAGACTGTAAAGAGAAAATTCAATTAATATTAAAATTAAATAAATAAGATAATCAATCTCGAAGGTGATTATAAAACATATTGTCAAAATAGTGAAACTTCCGAATTCAGATATATCTTAATCTGGTTCTGAAATTGAGATATTCCTTAGGGGGCGTCTATTAATCGCGTGAGGCATTTAGGGGTTTGACAAAAAATCACGAAATATCGCGTGGGAGATTGAACGGTCTAGTCACGTGTATTTATTTTTTACCTGAATTTAAAAAAAATCCAAACATTTTCAAAAAAAATTCACGTGATATTTGGGAGGCCCAAAAATCCTCAAAAAATCGATCATGTGATTAATGGACGCCCCCTTAAAATTAGGAACCAGTCTAATCGCTATTTTTGTATTTACAAGAAGAATCTTGAGTTTATTCATCTGGGTTTTGATGCGCTCAAAATTGATCTTTTTTCTTTCTGAGTTGATCAAAAATTACTTTTTATGATCGTCGGTATCATATAAATTGTCTCAAACTTAAAGTTCTAGGCCTTCACCAATTTTTGTGGTATATTTATCTAAAAATATACCTTTTAATTATTGCGTGCATTTTCTATTCGTTATTAACTTCCCGTAGGGTAAGTTATAGTAATCGCAAAAAAATCGAAAATGAAAATTTCTATATATCTTTACGTTTCAGAGGTTTCTGAACATTTTGGCATACCTTAGAAAAAATGGATGTATGTGTGTGTGTGTGTGTGTGTGTATGTGTGTGTGTATGTATGTACGTGTGTGTATGTATGTGCGGATACAAATTTTCGTTGACGATTTCGGGAACACGGATCAACCGATTTGAATAATTCAAAAAGCATTCGATTCGTATTGATAAGGAGACGTGCTGATTAGTTTTTGGCGAAGGCAGGTCTAGCCGTTCCGAAGATACGGGGCAAAAAGTGCCGAAAACGGTAACTCAGTTTTTAAGAGAACGGAGCGTCCGATTTTAATAATTTAAAAAACATTTTACTTGTATTGACAAGATGAAGAAGTGATCAAATTTTCATGAGGGCAGGTCTAGCGGTTTCGGAGATTTAACAAAAAAAGTAAAAAAAAAATGTCATTTGGCGGTCAAAAATGATCATAAGACATATGCACATCAAATTATCAGATATTTTATAGAGATTTTAACAATAAGTATAAATTTTGTTTACATTCCTATGGGTTCCGTACCAATGTTTATCCGTTAGACAGCGACGCGGCGCTTTACGCTTTATATTTTGTCTCTATGCAGTTAAAGCAGTACGATTGCTTTGAAAATAAGTTCAGATCTTCCAAAATATGTCAAAACTAGCTGTAAGTGGAATTCTGTCTTAAGGCAATTAAGGCATCGTGCCTTAAGGCAAATTGCTGGAACTTCCCGTACCAAAAATTATTATTTTTTTAAAAACGATTGACATTTTTAAAAAAAATTTACTTCGAAAAAATACGATTTTTAAGAAACTATAAATTGGACAAAAAATTACTTTTTTTTGAAAAAAAATTTTTTAAAAAAAAATTTTTTTTTAATTTTTTTTTGTTTTTTTTTTTTGAAAATTTTTTTTTTTTATTTTGACATATTGTGGAAGATCTGAACTTTCTTTTCAAAGCAATCGTACTGCTTTAACTGCATAGGGGCAAAATATAAAGCGCGTAAGCGCCGCGTCGCTGTCTAACGCATAAGCATTGGTACGGAACCCATAGGAATGTTAACAAAATGTATACTTATTGTTAAAATCTCTATAAAATATCTGATAATTTGATGAGCATATGTCTAATGATCATTTTTGACCGCCAAATGGCTTATTTTTTTACTTTTTCCTCCATATCTCCGAAACCGCTAGAGCTACCTTCATGAAAATTTTATCGATTCTTAACCTTGTCAATACAAGTGAAATGTTTTTTGAATTATTCAAATCGGACGCTCCGTTCTCTCAAAAACTGAGTTACCGTTTTCGGCACTTTTTGCCCCGTATCTTCGGAACGGCTAGACCTGCCTTCGCCAAAAACTAATCAGCACGTCTCCTTATCAATACGAATCGAATGTTTTTTGAATTATTCAAATCGGTTGACCCGTGTTCCCGAAATCGTCGACGAAAATTTGTATCCGCACATACATACACACACATACATACATACATACACACACACACACACACATACACACACACACACACACACACACACATACATCCATTTTTTCTAAGGTATGCCAAAATGTTCAGAAACCTCTGAAACGTAAAGATATATAAAAATTTTCATTTTCGATTTTTTTGCGATTACTATAACTTACCCTACGGGAAGTTAATAAAGAAAACATTTTTTTTAAAATTATTTTTTAAAAAAAAAAATTTTTTTTCAAGAAAAAGTAATTCTTTGTCCAATTTATAGTTTTCAAAAATCTTATTTTTGCGAAGTAAAATTTTTTCAAAAATATTAATCGTTTTTAAAAAAATGATAATTTTTGGTACGGGAAGTTCCTGCAATTTGCCTTAAGGCACGATGCCCTAATTGCCTTAAGACAGAATTCCACTTACAGCTAGTTTTACATTCATTTAAACAAAAAAATGTCACATGTAAAGAAATATGAGTGTAATGTATCCATGTGAAAGCAAGTTAGACCGTTCCGTATACTTAACTTCTGTGCACATGTATGATACCACATAATCAAGAAAGCATAAGTAAAAAAAACTTTTCATTTTTCTCTGCGAAAGTAAAAAAAAAATAGGACAAAGAACCATAATTAGATGTCTGAAAACCATATACTGTGCGATGTTGTATGCTGCCGATTCCTAGAACATCTTTATAAAAGTAATCTATTATGAATTTTACTTTATATTCGAGAATTATCAAGTGTTGTTGGTTGATTTTTATCATTATGTCACTAACAGTTTTCTAGTAATTGAGGAGTTAAACTATTAGTTAGAAAAATAATTTAAAATAATTTTTCACAATGCAATCGTGCACGAGGCAAAACTTTGCACTGAGGGTTCTGTGGACATAACTGATAGTGCCAAAATTAGGAAACTCAATGGCCTGGTGTAAAGGCCAATGATTATAGGTTACGATGTCTTGTTAAAAATTACGTAATATCCCTACCAGCTTTCCAGGCAATTTTATGAATGGTATTTCCGTGAGCGATATAGATCTAATGTGCGACCTTTGTTGACCGCTCCCTACTTTCCTACCCTCATTTTATGTCAAAAGACTAAGCACGACAGATGGTTTCATGGAATAAATTTTTAATGAAGTTTGCGAGATCGTGTGGTATATAAACTTCCTGATCTATTATTTGACAACATTTTAAGTCTATATCCACCTACCGGAACTAGATTCCATACAATACCAAAAGTGTTTCAGGTTGTTAAATATATATATATATATATATATATATATATATATATATATAAATATTACTAAATTATTGTAAGGAAAATAGGAGTTAAGGTAAGAGAGTGGAAATGAAATTTGGACTGTGTGATTTTTAACTACCATTACAAAAAATATAGAATGAAAAACATGCTATAAAATGTTTCAAAAAAAATTGTGGGTGAACGTGTGGCCCTTATTTTTTAAGTTAAATTTAAGATTTTCCATAAGCCAAGAAAAGTCCGAATTAAAATTCGGTGAGAAACATTCACCGGCTGAAAGCAGGGTAAAAAGTGATTCGTATAATATATTGACTATTATTAAATAGGGATTTGTGGTAGGAAAGTAAAATTTTAGATTATGTGTATTTTACAATTCAACATTAAAAAAATTAAAATAAAGAAAATTGGCCCAAAATTTAAAAAAATATGTTAGGGGTGGACAACCCTTAATACTTAACCTTAATCAAAATTTAGTGAAAAATATTTATTGACTGAACTCGGGATGAAAATTTACCATTACAAAATAGGGGTTTATAATAAGTAAACATTTAAGACTGTATGTGCTTTTGTAATTACAAATTATAAAAAAAAATAATAAAAAAAATTGATTCACAAAGTGAAAAAAATCTAAATACTAGATACTAAAATCTAAACCAAAAATAAATCATTAACAATATACTTGAAAAAAAACTATGTTCACAACCAATAAACAAAAAACGTATTCAACAAACGAATAAAATATGGAGAATAAAACTGAAGTTCATTTTACCTGGAGGCAAGCCGCATGAACTTTTTTACTGAAGATATGTGTAAATAAGACTTGATCAATAAGAATTGACATTTAAAAACATTTAAAATTTTTAACTAATCATTTCGAAAATAAAGTTTTCGCTTTTTATTAAAAACTTCAATCAATTATTATATTTCATTTATCAATGCCATTGATATTAAACAAGTTTTATCAACAATTAATTACGAAGAAACAGCCCGGCCAATCTTTACCAAAAACTAATTAGCACGATTCCGAACCGATATCTTTCGAACGAATTATAAAATTTTCAAAATCGATGAAGGATTTTTTGCTAAAAAGTGGAAACATATATGCATACTTTTCCAATTTTGGTATCAAATAGTTCAGGACGACTTAAAATGTTGAGAAAATAAAAAAAATGGCGAATCGAATTTTCTTAAAGTTCTCCTTGGGGAAGTTAAAGAAAAATTTAATTAGTAAGTCCATTGAATTTAAGAAATGAGATAAAGGAAAGAAAAATTGAAACAAAACTCAAAAATATTTCAACTTCGTGAAACAATAATCATTATCTTTGAAAAAAAAGTTATAAAATTGACTCTTTATAGATATAACTGATTTGAATGCGTTATTTTGAATTATTGATAAAAAACGCAGTGAAGGTGAAAACACAAAGCCTATACCTCTCGTTATTCTATTCGTTTCCAAGTCTTCCTCTGCTTTCAAAAATTTAATTCTTCTGGAACTGTGCAATAAATAGTGTAATTTAACCGAGGCGTTATTTAAGTACTCACAACTTGAGAAGTCGAGTTTTAAATTGGCAATTATTTTGCAAAAGCAGTGACAACAATATTAATATTGTTCCCGATATTA